TTTTTTTTTTTTTTTTTTTTTTTTTTTTTTTTTTTTTTTTTTTTTTTTTGCTCGCCTTAGCGCCGCGCTCCGGGGCCGCCGCGGGCCTGGCAGCCCCACCGAGCCGCGCACCGCCTAACCACAACGTGGCTTTTAGTGCCTGTACTGACTCCCACAGACTGTCTGCTTATAATGGCCCATCTGCGGCAACTAGCCTCCACATGCCATACCAGCCTTCGTCTAGCATCTCCTCTTCTGCAGACAGCGACTGCTTCCCACCCACCTCGTCACAGACCTCCTGCTTGGGGCTGAGCGCTCCAAGCCCCGGCTCTACCTCAGCCTGAACGCTGAGTGCCGGCTCCTGGCACGACCCAGGGCCACCACATACTGGATCGCACCCAGTGACGTCCAGCCCTCGCCCTGGCAGCACGGGGCCTGGCCCCACGGCCCCGCTCAGCCAGCACCAGAAAGCACTGAGATACCAAAACCACGTCTCCTCCTTATATACCTACCACTTTGTTCCACTTTGGGCTTTAGCGGTGTTTTCCTTGGTTTAAGCATTTGCTTCTTGAGCCGAGAGAAGGCCTTGGACTGCTGAGCTTCGGACAACACTCCCATATGCCTGAAGAGCTGCAGTACCCTGCGTAGCAAGAACGGCTTCACCTTGTGCTGGGCCACCTTGAGAGGACTGATATGAATTTGGGGCAGGTTGACTTCTTGATCACAGTTATAAAACCGAAACAGATTCCAGGCCAAGCTAGGTCCAAAGGTATCCATTAAAATATATCTGGAAAGTTTAAGGAGCATGTCACAGGACAACTGCTTTTCTTGTGGTTTCTGGCCCAGGTTCTGACTTAGCAAACTTCTCCTTCCCTGGTGACTCAGGAGAGAGCTGCTCCTGAACAGGCTGGAGGGTTTGTACGAGCCCACGGTCCCGGGAAGGGCTTTCTTACTGTGCAACGGTCCTTCGTAATCCATATCCCACAAAGAACTGTTGGGATTCAGGCTATGTTCTGAAATAATTGTAAATACAGTAAAACCTATTAAACATAAACAGCGAAAAACCTCAGTGCGTTTGTTTCTTTAAAATATATATAAATACGTCTACATTTATCAATGTTCTGCTGTAGCCCTGGATACAGTGCAGATTGCTACACTACTTTGACAAACCTACTGAATGTTTTGACAGGCCAAATCAATGGATTTGCAATAGGTGGGTTTTTTGGTACTAGGACGTAATAACGATTATTTGCAATTTTTTATTTAAACTAATATTTTCTGTAACGCTCAGGAAAACTATCTTTGTTATATGTACATACACTCCAGAGTACACAGATTCCTAAAAAACCCAACCACCAAAAGAGTATGTACTATTCCGTGTAAGTTTTCTGGAAAACATTAAGAATAATGATTCCTATTAAAGACTATAAAAGGCTTTTTCATACATGACTAAGAAATGAAACTCCTCCACTCCTGCTGGGCTGTTCGCATGTTGGGTACAGCCCCAGGGCCCAGCACAGCCTCTAGGTTTCCCATAGATATAGGCTGGGTTTAAACGAAAGGCTTAGTTTTGCTTTCTAGGTGATCTCTCTGGTCTCCTAGAGAAGCCATCAGCTGCTGGAAGCCATCAGCCCGCTGTACCAGGGCTAAGCCGCAGCTGCTCAAAGGCCACGGCAGCTTCATCCTGCGGGCAAGAAGGCACCGGTACGGGAGAACACGGACTCTCTGGAGCTTAAATGTGCTTCTAAGGCAGTGCCCCTACCCGGCTCTGAGCCTGAAGTTTCAATTTACACCCTGAGAACTGATCAATAAAGCAATTAAATGCAACATAAGCAGGCTGGGACTTCATGATAAGTAGGGCTGCAAACACACAAGAAAGCTCTAATAATTAAAAGGGACAAGGAGCCCAAAACCTAATTGCATCTTGCCAGAAGTGTTTGAAATAGTTAATGTTTTAACATAACGGCATACTGCTAGAGGCCGGAGGTCACGTCCTGGGAGCCCTGGAATGTGCCTGCAGCCTTGCCTTTCGTTTCTAAGCAAAGGACAAGATTTTTAAGAATGTTCTTCTGTTTCCTAGGGGTGGATCCCAGTCCAGCATGTTTGAGAAGCTTCAGGTATTTTTTTATTTGATTTCAAGATTAAGGTTATCAGCTTCAGGTAGTCATGATTTATGATTGCTTGCATATTGTAATCATATTAGCTAAGTGTTCTACTATTATGCTGGAATTTTACATATCAAAATGCACATTTTTGGCTGTAATTCATCCCTGAAATATAACCCTGTATTACTCAGAAACTGCAAAATATGACTGCTAGGACTAGATGGCAGCGGATAACTCAGGACTATGTCACAACGAAAGCAGCGCTTTGCATCTTCACTGCGCCTTTCATTCAGAGCAATCAATAGCCATCGCAAGAACCCTATTCATAAGGCCCCTGAGAGATCAATGCGCTCTTCCACTAAATTACTGATGGGCTGACGCGGAGGGGAGCTTGTGCGAGATTCCTGGGAGGAACAAGGAGAGAAGAAGGAGGACGCAGCTCCAGGAGGACCCCAGTAATACGGGGTCCATATTTTCCTCTTCTCTGCGCAGATGTGCTGGGGGGCAGCTGGTCCATGCAGAGCAGGGCTGCGCGTACCGCTGCCATCCGACTGGCACCGGTCTGAGCCGAAGGGAAAGGGCTTTGGGGCAGACCCAAAGCGTCCCTCAGTGCACCTAACGGCCCTGCTGCGGTGGAGTGACTTCAAATGTAAGCAATGTTAAATCTTTAAGCGGGTCTGCAAGCTTTCTAGAGTAAACTGCTGTGTAGAACGTTATTTAGAGTAAACAAAACTTTGGATCAATGTCTTGTCTTCCAAGGCAGACCTTAAACTAAAAAAGGCCTGAGGAACTACAGGAGAAAATAAATCAAGGGCCCATTGCATGCAGTCACCTCCAAAGCCACAGTCAAATCATGCCATCTATCCGTCTCTTGAAGTCAAATTGGAAACCAGAGGCACGTTTCCCTTCCGTTTTTGCTTCAGATAGAGGTAAGGGTTAGCCCTAGCAGCCGCGCTCCTTCTCCTCCCCCGGAGAGCTACTGCGGCCCGGGCAGCCCCCGCGGCCAGCCGGGGCCCAGCGGCCTCAGCCCACGCCGGGGTATAAATAGCAGTGGCCGAGGCGGCGGGGGGCGGCCCGCTCCGGGCCGCCGCGCA